TTGATACAAAAACAGGAGCTTAGACACAACAAGCTTTCAGAATAAAGTGAAACTTGAGCTTATAAAATATTATATGACATCAGTATATGGGTGTGGTAGTTAAGGTTGTATGTCAACTTGGCTGGGCCTGGTTGAGTGGTGGGGCAGCTGGATGTAGTTACTCCCCATGGTGAGATTGGTAATTAACTTCGTTGTGAAATCTACTGGAGCAGCTGAGTAGTTGCTTTAGGGGTGTGGGTCACTTCCAGTGTATAAGAAGCAACTTTGGGGAAGGTCTCCAGCTTATGGCATGCTTGAATGCTGCATGTAGCCAAGTAGTTGATCAGCGGCCTGCCATGTTGCTCTGCCAATCTTGGGACTTTTTTAGGACTTGAATCAGTGGCCTGCTGTGTGGTTTGGTACTATCAGGACTGTACCATTTTACTTGTTGACCTTGGGTTTGTCAGCCTCAGTAGCCAGCAGCTGTGTGAATGAAGAAATGCCTCCAGCTTCAGTGGGCCGGAGCAAGAGGCAGAGCTAAAGCCCAAGGTTGAGGGTCTTTCACCCAGTCCCTAGACCCTGGCATTTTGAACTCAGACTTGTAGCCTCCAAAATTGTAAGAAAATAAATTCCTGTTTGTTTAAGCCATCCCATTTGTGGTATATTCCTGTCAGAGCGGCACTAGGTAACCAAAACAATGGGAAACTCAGTTTCTTAAAATTTATACAGGAGTTCTTTGTTAAGAACAACTCAATTTAATGGAAAAAATAGGTCATGAGTAAAATTTATTAATTTGTCAGAGTCTCAGATGGAGAGATTTTATTTAGACTCTTTGATTAAAATTGAACATTAAAGTTTTAAAAAAAGTTTATAAATTAACCTGTTAAATTTTCAGTTGCAAATGAGCAAGAACCTCGATTATATCAAACAAAAATCCTTAACAAATTTTCCAATATTCCTTCTCTTTGTTATATATTTCTCATACCATAATCCTTTCAAAAAGTGAACATATTTACTATTAGACCCAAATATACATACACATCCTCCTGTTCTCTGTGGTATATATTTTAGCCTTCGATTCAACATTCCTCTGACCTTCTACAACTTAACTGTATAACTTCAAGGTTAGTTTTTATTATCTTTCATATTCTGGCATAACCAGAGTTTGTTTTCTTTCGGGGGGAGGGCATGTGTATACAAATTTACAAAGCAGATTTGTTTTACTCTCAACAGACATTTTCTTTTAAGATGAAATAATTTTCTTTTTACCACTTAAAAATTTAAAACTTCTTAACTTGTTGAAGAAATATCTTAACATTCTTTCTACAGATTCATATTTTGTCACAAAGTCATGAAAGCTTCTACATACATGTGTTCATCTCATTTTCCTTCTCATGTACAAAACAAATTAAATAGTAAAATAGTATTGTAATTCAATGAGCCATTCTCTGGCCATTGTTTGCCAGCTCCCAGAGCATATTACACAGGTGGTTTTACACAAAAATTTCATTCTGGATTTTCTCATAGGATCAGATTCAAAATAAGACCAGTTTTCAGAATACACCCTAGGGGACTGTAATCTGGAATTTGGCTAGCCTGATTACCCATTTCCTTTCTTCAGAAGAACCTACATTTCATCGATACCAGATAAGCTTCATAGGCTGTGTGCTACTTGGTCACAGCTAATCACCAAATTAGTTTTACAAGCATGCTTTACTTTGCTGTTGTTGTTAGGTGCTGTCAAGTTGGACCCCACTCCTAGCGACCCCTCCTGAAGTAGATTGCCCAACCTTCCTTCCAAGGAGTGGCTGGTGGATTTGAACCGCCAGCCTTCTGGTTAGCAGTCAAGTGCCTTAGGCACTACACCACCAGAGCTCAGTCTCAGCTATTTACCCTTTTGTTGAACCCATAAGGACCTTTCCCGCCCCACAGGAAGCCTCTAACTCCATCTTCCTGGGGCACTCACCGCTAAGCCATCTTCAGATTCTTCACTGATGACATCACCATTGAGTCCAGGGGTGGCCCTCTGCCACTTGGGGTCAAAAAGGCCACCTCTGGAAGAAGTGGTTCCAGTGTGCACTTAGTGTAGCTATCAACCCCAGTGGCACAAGGCAGAACACAGATCCGGGTGTGTTCAAATAGCATGTCCTATCTGGGTCACAACATTGATAACCACCCTGCTCTGGGTCTGTTGCCCAGAGTCACTTAAGTTAATGAAGACACATTGAGGTGAAGAGCGAAAGATACAGCTTTTATTTAAGTTCATGTATGAGCTGAGACTCAGAGAGGAGTTCCCTTAGATTCAGTCTGTCTCTAGATGCTTTCTAAGCTTCTTTTATAGGGTGAGGATTACATCAGAATCATATATGTAGATTTAATTTCATATGATTACAGGTTAAGCATGCACTGTAAGAGATATAAAGATGGCAGTTTTTAGCATGTCTCATTTGAATGTTAAATCTCCACCTGGGGTGTGTTTTTAGTATGCTAATGTTCCCTTTCGCCTACATCAAGCTGCCCTTGAGTTTTTAAAATGGGTCAGCAGACCTCCCAACTAGTTGTTACTTCTCACAAGCTACATTTTACTTCCCTTATTTCACTGGGAGCAGCACTGTAGACCTCTAATGAATACTGTGCATCTTTGAAGGAAATGTGCATGCAGATCACCATGAGTTGGAATTGACTGCAGGGCAACTGGTTTATGACGTATCTCTGTTTAACTTTTTGAATGATCGCCAAACTGTTTCCCATGGTGGATGTACCATTTGACATTCCCAGCAGTAATATACCAATGTTCCAGTTTCTCCACATCCCCACCAACACTTGTTGTTTTCCTGTTTGTTGTTCTGAATGTGACCATCTGCATACAGGTTTTTGTGTTAATAGACTTACTTCTGTCAATTGTATACATACCTATGAGTGGTATTGCTGAGTCTTATAGTAAGTGTATGTATAATTTTATTAGAAACTGCCAGACTGTCTTCCAGAGTGGTTATTACTATTTTGCCTCCCACCACCACTCTATGAAGGTTCCAGTTGCTCTACATCCTCACCGGCAGTTGATATTGTTAGTTGTTTTGGTGTTTGCCATTCTGTTGGTTGTAGGGGTATTTCTTTATGGTTTTAATTTACACTTTCCTAGAGAGTAATGGGAATCCTTGAGTTGTGCAACTAGTTAATACACTAGGCTGCTAAGTGAAAATTTGAAGGGTCAAGTCTAGCCAGAGGTACTTTGGAAGAAAGGACCGATAAACTATTCCAAAAAGTCAGCCATTGAAAACCCTCTAGGACATAGTTTTACTATGACACACGGGTCACCACACCCCACATCCTACTGCCTCTGTCTTCACAATAGAGTCTAAATTCACCCACTTCTCCCCACCTATACTGGTTCCACTGTGTCTAAGCTAACATCACTACTTGCAGAAGCCTCCAAATTTGTCTTTCTGCTTTTGTTCTCATTTTCACTCCCAGTCTGTTTTCCATGTAGCAGCTAGAGGGAGCTTTTAAAACACATTAGTGTGTGTCACTCTCTGCTCATGACCAACTTGGCCCCCTACCCCCTAAGGAAACCCATTTCACTCAGTAAAATCCAAAGTCCTCATCATGACCTGTCTCACATGATCTGATCTCAGTAACTTCTTGGTTTCATCTCCTTTAAGCTTTCTTCTGTCCATTCCCCCTTCACTCTAGCCACACTGTTGTTGTTGTTGTTGTTATGTGCCGTCGAGTCGGCCCCGACTCATAGCGACCCCTCCTTGGGTTTCCGAGGCAGTATCACTACGGAAGTAGGATTGC